TGGGTGGTAAAAATGGGTGGATGATCACCATCATGTGTTCTTAACTAGGTTTGTCTGAAAATAGCGTACCTCAAAATCTCAGATCATAGGGTAATGGGTCAAAACCCTGGTACTTAGGTACCCTAAAATAGTTGCTTAATGGATGTTAATTCCCCCAGTCATATGGTAGAGATTTTGACTATATTTTGACCCATCCTCATATTCTTCTAATCAAAATGAGAAGGTTTATACAGGATGGGGCCTCCAGTCGATAGCGTTCAGTTGCCTAAAACAGTGGCTGAATTCTATGGTTTATGGTAGAAGTTTTCATGGATGTTCATGGGGTTTATAAAACAACAAACATAACTGGGGGGCACCATCCTGTAGTCGTTTCGTCGTTTTTTCTGATGTGTCAGTTACCCTCTGGCAAGCAGTGAAATGGACAAAATCACCATTTATCGATGATTTTCCCAGCTATAAACCACCATTTATCTTTTTTTTTGTTGTCCGGCACCTTTGATTTTTAAGGACATTTTTTCAGGGATGCACCATCCAGCACATCCACTTCGTTGAGTCGGGCAGGCAAGCGGGCCTGTTGGAGGCGCCAAAGCCGATGCTGGGCGCCGACCTGGCCATTGCCATGGGGATATTTATATATATATATATGTATATATATAATGTAATATATCATGTAGATATCTTACTTATATAGATTATATATTCATAAATCATATACATAAATATCTATATTTATATCTATATCTATTAGCCAGAAATAGAAAATGGATTTATAATGGGAAATCCATCTATGGAAATCCATCTATAAATGGATGATGATTTGGGGGTAGCCCTATTTCAGGAAACATCCATATTTATATATAATTATATATCATATATGACTAAGAATAGTTTTTTGTGTGTGCTTTCGAGGTTGTTTGAAATTTTCGGGAAACAACTCCAACGGAATAGAACCTGAGCTTTTTATATGTTTTAAGAGCCATTTCAAAGGGATAACGCCACATTTTCACCAGGTTCAAGCCAGGGAATGTTCGAGGTCGTTGGCAATCCCCGATCAACCAGCTACAGTAGTATTAACCCATTGTTGCTGGTAGTCGTCATATCCCCGGCCGCGGTGCTGTTACTTTGCGGTGTACACAACACCTGCAAAAACATGCGCCACGTGGTAGAAGCCATGCCTACAAATTTTGAACTTGGCAGACGTCGGAATATTTGTAGCACAACTCACTGCAAGCATGACGTAGCAATTGCGGCACCAAACAATGCAAATCCTGCATCAGAGCGGATCAAAGAAAACAACAAAACACAAATACACATCAAGCCTACCTATCCATTCAACTGCTTGGAACATTTCGACCCATCGTGCCTGAGAAAAAGCGCGTTGCCAAGCTTGCGCATCCAGTTCAGGAACGCCATCACCAGACAGCACACTACGAAGACTATACTTGGGCGTTTGCGCAACAGTCAACTTGTTGACAGGTTGAGTAAAGATTTTCGGCAGCAAAGAAGACCCATCATCCAGTGGCACCGTCGGTCTTTGCCAATCATCCTGTGCAGCAGATTCCAAATAGTTTTGTTGTTCAAACGTCAACACAGGCATCTCACGCAACAAATCCAAATCAGTGCCGCCGTCATACTTCGACAGATAAGAAGCCACTTTGTTGATGCCAACCGGCAGCCAGTCATCAAGAGATATATATATATGTATATATATATGAGTTGACCACCTAACATTAGATGATTTTCCTATGAACACATCCATTTAGCTCAGGGATTTCCGGTCTGCGTTTGATTGCAGGAGGGCACACTGATTTACATAAGAAGACTGAAAAATATACCTTCTGGTTCTACATTTTTCCTCCTCCTCTATCACCATCCCCTAATTTGATAGTGGGTATATAGCCACCACAGTTGTACGGTTATATCCGAACTTTTTGGAAACAATACCATAGTCATACTTATAGCCATGAAAATAACCTCAAATAGAACCATACTGTATATATATATGCCATCATGATTATTGGCTAATAAGTATGCAAAAATATGTACATATATACATATATACAATATATATATATACAATATATATATACATATACAGTATATATATACACACAATATATATATATATACACAATATATATATACAATATATAAATATATATATATACACAATATATATATATATATATACAATATATATATACAATAAATAAATATATATATATATATATATGGGTAAATTATAATATTTCACTAACCTGAATTAAGGCCATTTGGGGATGATGTTCCTTACTAACCATGATTCCAGTGAGGTCGCAGTGAGGTCGCAGTGAGGTCGTTATATTTTACCCATATATATATACATATATATATATATACAAGATATATATATATGTAAAATATATATATATATATGTATGTATGTATATGTATGCTGTAATTCCATCTACAGCAAGAGGCTAAAGTACTAAAGTACCCACCCAAGGTTTTGATTTCCAAATGCCATATACCATATATCTGGCTTATAACCATTAAATTACCATACTATATGCTATGATGTGGACCCTCAAATACTATATCGCATAACATAGTATAGACACCATTACTAAATGGTGTCGGGCTGGTAGAAAACCGCAATACGAAATGCATCTTTGGTGGTTTGGGAGGGAGGTGTAGGGTGGGGTGGGCGGGGTGGGCCGGGTGGGGCCAATAACTTTCAAGTGCACTTAAACACATACTTGATGCTATGCTAGAGACATCTTTTCTTGCACATACACACATACTTCCTGCTACGCTAGAGACATCTTCTCTTGCAGATACACACATACTTCATGCTACGCTAGAGACATCTTCTCTTGCATTCGCGCACATACTTTTGTTTACACTAGAAACATCTTCTCTTGCACATACACACATGCTTCATGCTACGCTACATATGTTTTTCGTTGCACATACACACATACTTCCGGCGTCGCTATATACATCTTTTCTTGCACTTACCCACATACTTGATGCTACGCCAGAGACATCTTTTCTTGCACATACATACATACTTCATGCTACGCTACAAATGTTTTTGTTGCACATACACACGTACTTCCTGCTACGCTAGAGACATCTTTTCTTGCACATACACTAGGAGGAAACAACGTCGTGCTTTGAAGAAGCTTTGCCCTGTAAAACCCAATGGCATGTTGCAATGGGTCTTCAAAATCCCCGGGATTTTCAAGGTACAATTCTAACATGAAATGATTACGGCGCTGTGGCGCCAAGCACATTTGATTCCAAAACATGGACATTTGCTAGCGCGATTGTCACCCCGCCGGGATGTTTATGTCTTTTGGGTTTTACAGAAACCATCCCCATCTAAGGAGATTTGATCATGCATCCCCAAAAACACGCGCGAACTTCTACCAGCCCGACGCGTACTAAATACCATACCAGCAAATAAATAAATAAACATCAATAATATCATCACTTTTTGATTGTTTTGTAAAATATGTTCATATCACTAAAACATATATGGCATCCCTATCTAAAATGAGAATGGATTAATGATATCACCATTTCAAAACATATAATTAATATCATTTAAGTACATAAATCGGTGCTGTATAACGGGATGATTCCCCTTACTAACGTTACTAACCATGATTCCAGCGAGGTCACTATAATTTGCTCATACCAAAAAATATAGTGGCACTTTGGTGTGTTTAACCATTAAATCACCATTAAATCACCATTAAATCACCATTAAATCACCATTAAATCACCATGAATCCCAGTGTGATCACTATATGTTATGAAATGATGATATCAGCTACTATTATACGTTGTTATACGTTATATGTAACGATATTCCAACATATTCCAACTACTATTCAAATGGTGATATCACCATCCTAGCCATAGTACCCTCTGGTTGTTTAATATAGGCATGGAAAATTGTCCATTTATAGATGATTTTCCCATTAAAACCTCCATTTATGGGGGATTTTCCATGGTATGTTAAATGGCTATGTTAAATAACCAGATGGTAGCTATACTATGCCTATACTATGCCTTGATCCCATCCTCTCACCCAGTTTTTTCGTGGAGAAAATCCGGCCCGTAGTTCGAAGTCGTCGACCAGGACGGTGTGAAGGCACCGGGGCCCGGGAGCGTTCCCGTGAGACCTTTACCTCAGCGTTTTCACGGAAAGGCATGCCGTCTGGATGAGGATGATCAGGGAAAAACAGACGTGGAACATGTGGGCAAATTCGATGGGAAAACTTGGGGAAATTAGACGTGGAACATGATTTACATATATCATATGTACAACATATGGAAACATGTGGCGAAACATATGGAGAATTATGGAAAACACATGGAGAATGATGAGACGCATATATATGCGCGAAAATATACAGTTGCAACTGGACACCAATGGAATTTAAGCAACAATCATGAAAGAAATAGACATAGAGATCAAAGTGGGAAAACCAAACAGCATTGGACACCTGAGCTGCTCTTTCACGTTGGGAGTTGATCATTACCACATTAGTTCGCGCCAGGCTCCAGCAATGTTCACCTCTGCAGCATCGATGGTTTCAATTGAGTTTGAACCACCACACTCGCCTTGGAAAAGATTGCGATTTCTCCTCAGGTTGGTATGGTTTGCGATGTTCGCACACAACCTGCAACCAAAGACTCGCCGCATGCGGTATGCCGCCAATCAAACAGCCCAGGGTTGGATTAATTTGAGATTTACATTATTTTACAAAACAAACATATCAGGCATGTTTCCAAAAAAATCAGTAAGGATTCAGGGTAAGCACTGCATAGCACTGCACCATTCAAAATCCTGGAGGTTGGTTGCATGTGCATTCTATTCAGTAACTCCTAGTAGCAACTATATAATGACACCCCACGATATCACATATGTACCTGGGTGAACTCTCACTAGCTTGGACATGCATCCAAGACAAAAATATGACATGGGGGTATTCACCAACTGTCACGCAGGCAGTCAGCAAGCTATACATTGATATCAGTAAAAATCTGCAACTATCCCTTCCCACTAATATTCAAGGGCCATTTCAGGGACCTAAATTAGAGGTACCTACCATGTATAAGGCCTATTTTTTCAAGGCTATGTAAGGGAATATCCCCACAAAATGTGGCCAACAATATGGTACAGTACCTCCATTTTAGGGTCCTGAAAGTCCCATTGAAATATGACATACCAGCCAAACGAAAGCCCGGCAATAAAACTCGATCTGTTTATTTTTTGTGATGGGCGTGGGGATAGGATTACGAGAACACAGGCCCTTAGGCAACTTGAGGTACCCGAAATTCACCGAGATAAATCTCGGTCATTTGGCCTGTAATGGCATTTGGTGTGTATACTCCATTTTCAGGCATACCTATATGGGGTAGGGTCAATGGTTGTATGGTTTATGGCCATCAATCCTATATTGGAAATCCTTACAAACGGACATTGAATATCGGATATCTATCTATATATATATATATCCCGTTCTATGGATAGATGAACATCCCCCAATATGGGCATCTAACCAATCTTTTGACCATGGCACATTTATCCACTTATAACTTGGAAGCCTCCGACCAGGTCATATTCGGGATCTCCCCAAACTTTGAATGTCCAGGCATGTGAGGGCGTCTTTCTACAGTGTACCCTCTAGCACTTTAAACTTGCTATGGAGCATCAACCTACCTATTTCCGATGATTCTTCCACATGTTTCCATAGAAAATTGCTAGTTTCCATTGCAAGGTTGAATTACTAGAGGGTAATCATGCGTCCACAAAAAAAACTCACCCCAAATCAAGGAATACCCTTTAATGAAAATGAAAGTGGACCATGTCCAATAGCAAATGTAACCTCGGGGGAATGGAGCCATTAAAAATACCGCTATCCCATCTCATTATACCATTGCCAATCAGCCAGATACCCTGCAAAAAATGACGAATTCTTTGCTGGTGAACGTAGATATTCCCATTAATACCAAAAGACTAAAGGATTAGTTTGTATCCATCTAAGATTGACCTAGTATACTAGTTGCTTGATAGGTTCCCCTATGGGTAATCGGGATCCTCAATAACTTTGCTAATCTAACTCCCAACAATCGCCAATGAACCAGGCTATTGAGAGTTGCGGAGAGTTTTTCTTGACTCCTTCCCAAGTACCCTCTGGTTATTTGTTACATAGCCATGGAAGCCATGGCCCATAGAAATAGATGATTTTCCCAGCTAGAAACCTCCATTTTTAATGGGTTTTCCATGGCAAACCGTTAAATAACCAGATGGTATACTATTCATTAGTTAGGTTATAAGTTGGTTCATAAACCATGAATTAATTCTCATTAACTAGTTCGTTATATCTACCATAAACCATAGTTAAATCAACCAATTATAAACCAACTGAACGCGAGCTCGACTGGGGGACCCATCTTGTAGTTAGCTGAGACCATGTGCGCAACCACAGAACGTTGGGAAACATCATCCCCAACGAATGTTCGATATATCTACCATCAGTCCAAACGTTATTAGAGTTACAGTATAAGCCAACTTCACTAACTGGGGCCATTTTTGGAAGCTATTCTGAATTACCCTCTGGTAATTTCTTACATAGCTATTGAAAATGACCATAGAAATAGTGGGATTTACCCATTAAAAATGGTGATTTTCTATAGCTTTTTGTATGTTTACCAGAGGACAAGCCAATTTCACTATTTGGTGCACCATCTTACAACCTGAAAAGCCATTATGAACAATTACCCTCTGGTAAACATACATAACTATGGGAAATCACCATGTTTAATGGGACAACTCACAGTAGACACTCTATCAACCATTGATAGTCATTATTAATAGCCATGATCAACCGTTAATAGTCATTGTTAATAGCCAAAAACCATTGATTTAACTAATAGAGTCATTACTAATAATCCTCCTCATTTGCCATGATTAAACACTATAAACCATGATTTTTATTGATTTTCGAAAAGATATCCCTAGATCGAAATCGCCTGGTTGAAAGCAAATGGTTCACTCGTGATTGCTGGGTCTCCACACTCTCCGGTTTGCTGCAAATGGACACATCTCTGCCTGAGGTCATCCCATGACCAGAATTCCGCCATTGGACCATGGGCTATGTCAAAAAATGGAAGGTAGCTGCCCGTGTACCCTTAAAATTGCGATCAAAAAGTGTGGAACATTATGGTTAACCAATGAATTTAGAGGTCATCCTACTTTCAGACGAACCTATATAATTGAGGAGTATATAAATTCCGAATAATGGGGGGGTGTCTATCGCCGAGGAATTTAGCCAATGTTTTGACTGTGACACGTGTGGGAACAAACAATGGGCAAATTTGATTTCATCTGTTTATGTCTTGGGTATGAAACTCGCAATATTCAAAATAGGTAAAAGCGGTATCGCTTTCTAGGGCGGCTCTGCATATATGAAGAAAAAACAAATTATAGTAGACAATTGCGGAACGTACTTGCCAGAATAAGGATGTAGGATGCAATCAATAAACCTGGGGATGCTACCATCAACATTGAGAAAGAAACAACTGACATGAATGTATAACTGAGAAACATAGATCAAGAAACCAACAACACTGGTTGGCAGTTTCAAGCTCGCTTAACAAGTCTTGGAAGACAAGAGATATTTTAAATGTTTCAAATGACCAACCAGAACTTTTGGGATCGCTTCATTTTCTTGCTTCTTAAGGGCTCTGCGTAACCTTCCCATCGGAGGTCCCTCTACACCCACATAAGCCCATCCCATGAATACTGGTTGACCACTAGTTATCCCTTTTATGGAATGTAAAGCATGTCTGCATGTCCAGTAAACCGGGCACTCGATGGTCATATAAGCACCTCTAATAGGCAATCAACAGGGGTATCCTTTATGGTTTAGATGTGTAGTTGGTGGTTGAAAGTGTTGGACTATTGCCGCAGAACCACTCCCAAATTATGCCAAATGACTTTTGAACCACTGGTATTACAAGCCAAAATCTCTGGCTTCTGCAGAGTCACAAAAAATACACTCATAAAACATCACAACACCCCTTAATTTTCTGGATAACTCCATGCAGATCCAAGCAATCTTTTCGTCATCTCAAATGATCTTCAACTGCAAGGTGGTGCCCCTGGTGACCCCTAGTTATAAATTGGTTTATAAACCCCAGTACCTATAGATATATCACCTATATCACCTCATTTCAGCTTGGCTTTTTTGGAACCCCAAACAATAACAACATCGCCAAATCGATTCCCCAGTCGATTGTTAGGACGACGATTTTTTTCATCATCGACTCAGCACATCCAAGCGAGCTATTGTTTTCTGTGTGTTGGTTTATAATACCCATTAACTGCATATGGAAAATCACAATTTTTGATGGGAAAACTCAATATAAATAGCCATTTTCAATAGCTATGTTAGTTTGTGTGTTGGTTTATAGTACCCATTAACTGCATATGGAAAATCACCATTTTTAATGGGAAAAATTCACTGTAAATGGCCATTTTCAATAGCTATGTTTGTTTGTGTGTTGGTTTTATAATACCCGTTAAATGCATATGGAAAATCACCATTTTTCATGGGAAAACTCACTGTAAATGGCCATTTTCAATAGCTATGTTAGTTTGTGTGTTGGTTTATAACACCCATTGACTGCATATGGAAAATCACAATTTTTAATGGGAAGAACTCACTATAAATGGTAATTTTCACTAGCTATGTTAGTTTGTTTGTTGGTTTATAATAGCCATTAACTGCATATGGAAAATCACCATTTTTAATGGGAAAACTCACTGTACATGGCCATTTTCAATAGCTATGTTAATTGGTTTGTTGGTTTATAGTACCCATTAACTGCATATGGAAAATCACCATTTTTAATGGGAAAAACTCACTATAAATGGCCATTTTCAATAGCTATGTTAGTTTGTGTGTTGGTTTATATGCCCTATTGGCCTGTGCCTCAGCAGCTTCGTTCAGCAGTTGTTGTTGATCGTCAATGTAGACACAGGCGCCTATTTGCTTGACTAACTGCGCCTTACACCCAACGTGTCCCGTCACTGAAGCACCAACCACAGGATCACTGGCCAGTTTGGTGCCGGTTATATATATATATATTCCAGTGAATGGTCTGCGCAGCTTCCTCTCCAACTCTTTGCAAGTGTCAAGTGCGTCTCCATCAGCCCATTCCAGCAGCAAGTCGACCAATTCCGAGGCTGATCTTCATCAGGCAATTCCAGTAGATCAGCAAGCTGCAAGCTATTCAATTGGACAAAACTTCATTGTCGAAGAATCCAATTAATTAATCGAACAGGTTTGCCTTGTCCTGGGAGATCTCAGCGTATTTTGCTGAGTAGATGGATTACTGGCAAAGGAACATATGCAAAGGTCGAACCCCCCACCTTTGGATGTTTCTGAGGTGTTCGATGCACGCCTCTGTGATATTCTCCTCGAATTCAATTGTGTGATGATAATCGAGGCCCACCAATGGACGCTCTGGAGATTCAGCTCGAGGCGCCCTCTTTGGCGCAGCCTTTGAGGCTGTCGCCTTTGGCGCGCCCGTTGCGACTGCCACTGCAGATGAAAAAATTGCCATTTTTAATGGGAAAAATTCACTGTAAATTGCAATTTTCAATAGCTATGTTAGTTTGTTTGTTGGTTTTATAATACCCATTAACTGCATATGGAAAATCACCATTTTTAATGGGAAAAAACTCAACATAAATGGCAATTTTTAATAGCTATGTTAGTTTGTTTGTTGGTTTACAATACCCATTAACTGCATATGGAAAATCACCATTTTTAATGGAAAAAAACTCACTATAAATGGCCATTTTCAATAGCTATGTTAGTTTGCTTGTTGGTTTATAATACCCATTAACTGCATATGGAAAATCACCATTTTTAATGGGAAAAAACTCACTAATAGTGGCCATTTTCAATAGCTATGTTAGTTTGTTTGTTGGTTTATAATATCCATTAACTGCATATGGAAAATCACCATTTTTAATGGGAACAAACTCACTATAAATGGTCATTTTCAATAGCTATGTTAGTTTGTTTGTTGGTTTATAATACCCATTAAGTGCATATGGAAAATCATCATTTTTAATGGGAAAACTCACTATAAATGGCAATTTTCAATAGCTATGTTAGTTTGTGTGTTGGTTTATAATACCCTTTAAGTGCATATGGAAAATCACAATTTTTAATGGGAAAACTCACTATAAATGGCAATTTTCAATAGCTATGTTAGTTTGTGTGTTGGTTTATAATACCCATTAACTGCATATGGAAAATCACCATTTTTCATGGGAAAACTCAATATAAATAGCAATTTTCAATAGCTAAGTTAGTTTGTGTGTTGGTTTATAGTACCCATTAACTGCATATGGAAAATCACCATTTTTAATGGGAAAAACTCACTGTAAGTGGCCATTTTCAATAGCTATGTTAGCTTGTGTGTTGGTTTATAGTGCCATTAACTGCATATGGAATATCACATTTTTTTTTTGGAAAACTCACTATAAATGGCAATTTTCAATAGCTATGTTAGTTTGTGTGTTGGTTTATAATACCCATTAAGTGCATATGGAAAATCACAATTTTAATGGAAAACTCACTATAAATGGCAATTTTAAATAGCTATTTTAGTTTGTGTGTTGGTTTATAGCGCCCATTAACTGCATATGGAAAATCACCATTTTTAATGGGAAACATTACTGTAAATGGCAATTTTCAATAGCTATGTTAGTTTGTTTGTTGTTTTATAATACCCATTAACTGCATATGGAAAATCACCATTTTTAATGGGAAAAATTACTGTAAATGGCAATTTTCAATAGCTATGTTAGTTTGCTTGTTGGTTTATAATACCCATTAACTGCATATGGAAAATCACCATTTTTAATGGGAAAACTCACTATAAATGGCAATTTTCAATAGCTATGTTAGTTTGTGTGTTGGTTTATAATACCCATAAACTGCATATGGAAAATCACAATTTTTAATGGGAAAAATTACTGTAAATGGCAATTTTCAATAGCTATGTTAGTTTGCTTGTTGGTTTATAATACCCATTAACTGCATGTGGAAAATCACCGTTTTTAATGGGAAAACTCACTATAAATGGCAATTTTCAATAGCTATGTTAGTTTGTGTGTTGGTTTATAATACCCATTAACTGCATATGGAAAATCGCCATTTTTAATGGGAACAAACTCACAATAAATGGCAATTTTCAATAGCTATGTTAGTTTGTTTGTTTTATAATACCCATTAAGTGCATATGGAAAATCACCATTTTTAATGGGAAAACTCACTGTACATGGCCATTTTCAATAGCCATGTTAGTTTGTGTGTTGGTTTACAATACCCATTAACTGCATATGGAAAATCACCATTTCTAATGGGAAAACTCACTGTAAATGGCCATTTTCAATAGCTATGTTAGTTTGTTTGTTGGTTTATAATACCCATAAACTGCATATGGAAAATCACCATTTTTTATTGGGAAAACTAACTGTAAATGGCAATTTTCAATAGCTATGTTAGTTTGTTTGTTGGTTTATAATACCCATTAACTGCATGTGGAAAATCACCATTTTTAACGGGAAAACTCACTGTAAATGGCAATTTTCAATAGCTATGTTAGTTTACCAGCGGAACTGCCATAATAATTGTATTATAAAACAACAAACATATAAATTACAATGGGTTTAGAATAAACATTTTAATATAACAGTTTATACTGTACAATGTGGTGCCCCCCGGTTATAAATTGTCTTAGAAGCCAATTCACCAGCTCGATATATCTACCATAAGTCCTAGTTATTGGAGGTACAAACCAACTTAGCTATCGAACTGGGGCACCGCCTTGTAGATACATCTACTTGGTAGCTTGTCCCACTTACTAAGTAGGTTCTCTCCCTGGTTTTGCTAGTGGGACAAGTAGGGTTAATCCACTTATAACCAGGGAATCAGGGATATCACCTACTAATGAAGTGGGATGAGCCAACAAGTGGGAATCATTCTGAACTAGCTTTCAATACTAAGTCATGGCCATCCATGGCTTGGATGATCTGGGATACCCCTATGACTTAGAAATATCATAATCCCAGGACAGCTGATCCACCATGCCTTGCAGCGTGCTCTTCAGCTCGTACTGGCCAGGACCTCTCTGTGTGCTTCCATCAGAAAGTGGGGAAAGTTTAGCATGGGGATATACTGTAGTAGAATATAATTAATGCATTAATATATTACATACTAACATATGTATATATAAATAGATACATAGAAACACTCATACTGTTTTTTGGGACCAATAATAATTTTGGGGGTTGGTCTAAAAAATTACGTACCACCTTCTATCCAATGTGAGCAATCATCATTTTTGGATGAAAACATCACAGAGGCTGTTTCCCAAAATCGGGACACTATCACCCCCCAAAAAACACATTTTGAATAGGAAGGGGTCTTCTGATCATAGGATGTTTGGTTCCACTTTTTGAAACAACGTCGTGCAATTCTTACTTTGGTGGTCTGTTGTTGTTGTTCTTCTTCTTCTTGTTGATCTCCTACTAAAAGTTGACCTTTAATCAGGTTGTTTGTTGTTTTATTTGGAATAGAACTTCCAAGCAACACTTCTTTCGGAGGTTGACTTCCCTGACATCTCACAGCGGGCCCGCCTGGGGTCGTGGATCGCTTGTTGGGTTTTAGCCGGTTGTCGTTGGTAAAGCCCCACCTCACCAAGACCAGAAAGTTGGGCGATTAAGGGGCGATGAAAACTTGGGGATGAATGAGGAATATGCAGAATCGGGATTCAAAATCATGAAATCTGATGACATCTTAAAATTGGGGATCCCCAAGTCACCATAGGTTTCAATACTACAATGGTATAATGACTTGGATGATTTGGGGGTAAATGGTAAGCGACCACTGGAGGATACCTGGATGTGCAGGCCCCACGAATCCTAAGTGGTTTATAACCTCCATATATAAGCCGTATATCATGTAATATATTTAAAGGTTATATATATATGTATATGTATATATGGTCCCGTCCTCCGTCTCTCCTGTCCCCCCAATGGGTTGGGTCCCCAGGTAGCATCCCCCTTTCCCTTCTATTTGCAAGCTATTGGCAGCATTTCTGAGGTCCAGCCCAGCCTCGTATTTGCTAGGTCTTTGCAGCATTTCTGACTACCAGCCTCGCATTTACTAGGTACATGCTACCTTTTAGGCGACCTACGTAGCACACATACTCCCTCAAAGTACCTACGTGCCACCTATAGTCATATATACATGTGCTATGGATCTACTTCCTATTTACTACCTGTGTACTCTCACAACACTACATGTGTTGAACATATGCCGTACCTACCATACATTCCAATGATGCCATGCGTACCATACCTATCATACCTATCATACATACCACACATACCATACATATGAAACATAATTACCACACCTACCATGCATACAATACCAAACATACATGCGATACACACCATACATACCTTACATAGGAAACCTTCCATACCCATCATAGTAACCATGCATACATACCTATCATACCTATCATGCAGAACACACATACCATACATTGAAACACAATTACCACACCTACCATGCATACAATACCAAACATACATGCCATACATACCATACCTACCTTACATAGGAAACATGCCATACCCTTCATAGTAACCATACTAACCATACATACCATACATACTGTCATATCAAACATACCATACCCAACAGGCTTACATACCATACTTACCATCCATACAATAACGACCATTCATGCCATACATAGCATACCTACCATACATACCAAACATACCATACTTTCCAAACATGCCATACCAGACCGACCATACACACCATACATACCCAACATACCATACCACACCCCCACCACACCACAGGGGGGGAGGGGGACAGTACCACACCGGGGAACAATTCCACACCTCCACGCATTTAACGGCGCAGGAAGGCTGGGCATTTGGAAAAAGTTCGACAGCACAAAAAAAAAGGTGCAAACACACACAAACATACACTTCGTTGGGCCTTTATGTCCAAGCTGCTATGGTGGCTACTGGAGGGTAAAATAGCTTGTCTCTGCACGTCTCTGGTACAAGTGGCTAAGGCATCTCTGCAACAGAAACAACCTGGAGTCAAATTAAAATGCGCTGTCTTTGACCGGGCCAAAAAAAGTCCACTGCTATATTTAAAAGCACTTCACTGCTCACATGTTGCAGAAACTTGCTCTGAGACTGTTTGCGATGGCAAGTGATAGGTGACCCGGACCGCACATGGCCAAAATCAAAGCAGTGGGAAGTTGTCCGAAAGAAATGTTGGAGCTCGTTAGAAACAAATCACTGCTGCTGTGGGCAATGTTATCACAGGGCATCACAGGGCCGTCTCACGGTTCTCTTCATGCAGATTCAGAGGCTCCTCGTGCATTGCAGGGAAGTCTTTGAGCTGCTGCACTTGCTCAACTTAGATCTGCCGATCGCCCAATGACCTGCATCATCGTTCATCACTGATGATTCTTCACCATCAAACATCAAAGACTCATCAGGCAACGGTTTTCTCACCATACGTGGAAAAACTCAAAATGGATACCAGGAAAGCGAGAGGCGACAGGATGTCTGAGAACTGCAATTTTTGTACCTGCTGCGCACTGTTGGATGTCTGAGAGCGCATGACACTAAGAGAGAGAGAGAGAGTTTGCATTCTTCTCAGGTTAGCATCTGACTGGAATGTTCTCGCAAGAAAATAAAAAGAAGTGAATGCAATAAATCAACAATAACACACGAAACATATACAGGCTTTCTGCTTTCCAATTCAAATCAGGGTATGCAGTCTTGAAGTCCTGTGTGGTTTTCAGTTTTCACTGGCTTCCTGGAGCAGTCTCTCCGCTCTCGCTGAATCTCCGGTGTTTTTCGGCAAAATGGCAAGCATGACAGCTGATTTCAAGAGTTGCAGAAATACACAGAAGTACTAGCTTGGGCATTTCCTTGATTCAAACGTGGCTTGAACTGTGATGGTGACAAGTTGCAACTGCAAGCTGTCATGCTCTGATCACGATTCCGCTTTCGTGTGCGGCCATCCTCAGCTCTCAGGTTCCTTTGCCTTACCAGCAATCCGCAAACGAGTGACACGCTTCACTTGAATCTCGTCCTGCTTCGCCTTCTTGTTCTTCTTCGCGGCGTTGAATTTGGCCCAACCACTCGGCCCACTGCGGCTCTTCTGGGGGTTCTCCGCCGCAGCGGCACGAAGAGCTTCATATAACCCTTCCGCGATATCTCTGGTGAAGTCATCAGGATCGTCGGCCTCTATGTCAAACAAATTTCTCACAGCTCCCCCAAGCACCTTCACCATAGTATCTTTGTCCAAAGACAATCTGGGCGGCATGGTCTAGTTCTACCACAAAACGTTCGAACAAAAGGCCTATTTCCAGGCTTGATCCAACTCGGAGAAAAAGAGATGACACCTAGCTTGTCTGCCAATCACATGACACAGTAAACAACCTTTTCCATTTCCTGACGATTTCCATGCCTTTCCAGTGAACAGTGATCCATCAAAACCACAGTGATCCATCATTAATTTTTGAAGAGAAAACAAAAGCCACGCACACTTTGGATTGTGCTTCCCTGTCACACACGCACTTTTTTTGCAACATCCCGAAGCTCATTGGATCTGACTGGCAACCTCTTCAAGAAGATGCCCACACCACAGGGGGGGAGGGGGAAGATCTCAGATGGGGGCAGTATATGGGACCCATCCCATGGGGGGGGAGGGGGGGTGGCAGGGCCTGGTGCATATATAGAGGTTATAAACCACTTAGTTATGTGGGTTAACCTCTATAATATATATATATATATGATTTATTTATGTATAACCCAACCCATACGTAGATGACTAACTATTTCATCTGGTTCATCTGGTTAGCCACTGAAGCCATACCTGGAACTGCTCCGACGGACTGCAAGGTGTATCTAAAACTACTGGCCCCAGAAGGTTCGAAGCTGGACTAACCATACCGATCCTATACTATATCCTACTTCCATCTACTTATTGGGGTTCCAAACCAGAAATGTGAAGTAGTCAATGTTTGGTACTCTACTCTTGAGCCTTTCATTGGCTTTTTCCCATTCCCAGGGCCCTCCGTAGAGTCACCCTGCTTCTGGGTGTCTGAATCCTGGTTTTTGGGGAGAACTTGTGTAGCATGTCCCTGATTCGCTTACCCAACGTATTATGGATGATGGCAAGTGGTGGCCAGTTGCTACTTGGAATGCATATCCAAGTAGGGATAGCCGAAATGGATAGAGAGGCTGGCTCAACCCTGCTTCCAGGCATATGAAACAACTATACTATGTATGCAAGGAATCTTCACATCATAGTGAAATTACCATAGTGCCTTAAGGTTTTCACATGTCACCAAATGCGGACTTTCAGGCTAAATTTGACCCCTGAATCAAAGGTTTTTGCAAGCTATCTGTACGAGTGTGGTTCCTGATTTTCAAACATCTGTGCCAACGACGACAACAACAATAACAGCAACTCTCAAACCCAAACAAAAAACATAAAAACATGGGAAACGTGTCCTTACCAACCATCATTTAAGGTGTTTATTGCAGTAATGTGGCGAAATATATTGCCGTGAAGGAACTGGATTTTCTACGCCACCATCTGGGAGACTGCAACAACTGAAGGTGAACTGGAATTTTCCATCGTTTCCTTCACGTCTCTTCAACAAGCCACAACCCCGCGGGCAAAACCCGTGGCTTTTCTTGTGGCCCAACCCCGTTGTGTCGCCCATTGTGTCGTCAAGCGACTTCGGGGAGACAAAGTCAGGGTTGGATGGCGTATACGCCCCCGGTCCGGGCCTCGGAGAAAGGAGCTATTTTTTGACCCGAAAAAGATATGGAGACAGGAGACATCGTGGGTCAGTTTTCCGTTCAACCACTTATTAATATATATTATACGTGTATATAAATGATAATAGATTAATCAATTATATATGTTACAGTCCTAAAGATTAAGATATCATTGTAGTCGCAGCGTCAAAAACATCTCCGAAATTATGCAATCGTTAGAGTATAATACTAGATTTTTAGTGGGGATCCCCATAGTACATTCTGATCATCCCAAATATTGTAAAAGGTAGTATACCCCCCAAACAAATCATCAAGTACCCATCTAAACACCCATCTAATTACTCATTAAAAACCACCGATCAATCAACCATAAATTGAAAGAATATCACCTATATCTCCGGTTTTTGCTGATTAAATATTGGTCAAACTAACCAAGAATGGAAAATCTCCATGTTTACTGGGTAAATCATCAAACTAAATTTCTAAATGTGTCATTTTGGATAGCAATTGGCAATGTTAGTTGGTTAAACCCTGTTTTTTCACTATCCACAACTGCTCGGCGTCAAGTCTACTGAG